TGCCTTTTTTGAGCCGTACAAGTGGAGAGCTCTTTGATGAGGCTCACCCATTTAGCGATCATATACATATGTACATCGCGATAATGATCAAGTAAGAGTTGGCCATCAATTGAAGAGGAACAATGTTGAATGCCTCAGTACGTGTTGATGAAGTAATGCGGGAATGGATACTCCACCTAAGGAGAGTCTCGGAGGTGCTACTCATCCAAGTGCGGGGTTCTTTTGAGAATATTCCCCTAGAACCATTAAGTTAAGTTGCGGCGGTAGACCACCCTTATGCATTTGAGGTCCCCGAGGGTAATTGAGGTTGTGGTTCTTTTCGTAGCCTATGGACTAAAAGTGAGATTGGGCTAGTTGAATCGAAGCACGATGGAAAGCCCGCAGCATCGGTCTGAGTTAGCGACAAATTCTTTAGAGACCTCGGGAACACATCCCAAAGGCTGCGAGCCTACTGAGGAATCAAAATTGATCTATTGTAGACTGCTAGACGAGACATGGTTGTAACTCGACTCTAGGTACCTAAAAAAAAAAGCAACATGTGTAGAGCTCAAACAAACGACGACCATTCCACATTGTTCTATTTCAAGCACTTGAGATAGCTTGCAATACGGCAAAAATATGCAACCAGAGCGAGACCGCCAGAGACGCAACCAAAAAACCCTACTAAAACCTTAACACATCCAATATGGCTACTAAGTAGCCACCCTTGGATGCAAAAATCAGAAAAACAAAAGAGAATAAGGGAGAGAAGCCTGACGGAATGGGAAAGTGCAGGAACTCATGAGAAAGACCACGGAAACTCAAAAGCAATACGAAGAGCAGCAAGAAAGTTAGAATAACTTTGGAGTGACTATTCTGAGGTTTTTTTGCCACTTTTATGTGGTTGCATGGAAGATGAAAGGGCGGGGTTAATCGGGCATCGGCTTAAATCATCCTCACCCTTCATTTATCAAGCAATTTGGCCTTGGACATTGCCACATGTCAACCATCCACAGGGAGTGATGAACGTCAGATTGTAGTAATGATAACTATCCCTCGACTTCACACGTGAACAGCTGTCTCACCACGTGCGACGAAACGTAATTGACAAAGGCTGCGCATTTAATGCGACATGACCACATGGAAATTACCTTATAACCTAACTTTTCTATTCTGAATTTTGATAGGTACCATGGGAGATCCAGGTGTGAGGTACGTTGGCCAAGTGTAAGGTCACCATAGGAGCCCGTTCGGACATGCACTCAGAGATTCACTATTGAAGCGAGCTTGGCATCAAATTGAGCAATAGTCTTCGATACCCGAAGGAGCATCGAACAATAGGGGCAGTATTGTGTGTCCCAAGCTCGGGCCAAGCAGGATATAGCTTGACCAGCATGAGCTTGACAACAATGATGATCGTTGACCCAGCATAGCTAGTCGGAAGTTCAATGAATCATTCAATAACCTCCAGATTATTTCAGATCTTAGATATTACGAGAGACTAGATCAACCGCGATCACTATGCAATCACAACGCCTAATCGAGAATACAGAATTACGATTCAGATTAATTGTAATCCCCTTATTTTGCTCTTTCTTTGTACAAATCTTATATAAACCCCCTCAAACGAGGGGAAGGGGTACGAATTTCACATAAGAACTATATTGTAACTCTCACAGCAAATACAAAAAAGTGGAGTTGGCTTAGAGTATCTCGCCAACCACTTTAAAACTCTCAGTGTCTTACTTTATTGCATTTTTTACATACATTGCTGATTATTCTTAATCACACACACATCAGTTTGATCTGGCAAGGTCAATCCGATCTCTCGATTGGTGCAGTGATTGTATTATTTAAGGAACTTCTTTTTCTTATTGATTTTTTTTCTTTTGATACCGGGGATATCCAGGCTAACATATGCGTATCTCAACTAATCCCCCGAGACCATAAGTTAACTATGGGTAAGCCTTTAATGGCCACCCCTATTAGGAACCAGAGGGAGGTGAATCCACTCAAAACTTTTAAGCAAAATACATGAAAAATCAAATTACCGTCACCACCATGGTGGTTTTTATTTTTTATTTCCTCAAGTCAATAAAGAGGATGAAGCATAGCTTGATGGCTAGGTCTGCTGACTAATTTTCTGCTCAAAGCCAATGAATTCGAACGAGATTAAATAACATAGCCAGACAATGTCTCTTTAGAAGTCAAAGTCCAAAATTTACGAAGCAATAAAATATTATAAAAAATAAAGGCAAAATTTCTTCAACCATAATAACACTCTTAAGAAGTCCAAATCTTCACAAAACATGACATTTGGGGTAAATTTGAAGGTTAATACAGTTAGTTATATTTGATTACATTGTTGAGATTAACTGCATTTACAATAAAGTTTCAGTGTTTTAATACTACTTTGTTCAAGAAAATTTATGCATTTTACGTAGCCTATATATATTAATTCTCCCTTATCAACATTTAAAGAGTATCAGGATTACCAATTTAAATTTATAAAATTATAATTATAATATAAAAAGAATAATTAGATTTATAGTTTTTAGCTTGTGATCGGGTCAATTTTGACTTACATTTGTGCTTTAAATTATATTTATATATATGTGTAAAATAAGGTGTTGAATCTTTAGAAGACAAAGAGAGTTACATATTAATCAATTTAGAATTTATTTAATTTAATTTGACTTATTCAAACGCTCTAGTAAGAATATGCTTTGAGAGATTAAATAAAAAAGACTTTTGAGTAGACTGGAAACGCAGTATGGCGAGTAAAGACGAGTTTGAGAATGTAAACGGGTAAGGAATACAGAATCCATACGCGTCATACAGGTATGGGTGGACCGGGTACACCTTTTCCAAATATGTTTTTACTTTTTAAGAAAAATATCATTTAAATATAATGTAATAAAGGTTATTTGGTCATCTTAAAACAGAAAGAAATAAGAAAATATCATCAAATATCTACTGATATTATAATGTTTTTCATGGATCATGATTAATCACATTTATATCTAATTACCTAATTGAAGCCACCAGTATAGGCAACTTCCCAATCAATAGACAAACGACTAGCATTAAGTTGACAATAAACAAAGAGATGGTCTAAACATTATAAATCCCTTTTTTTAAGTCAACAATGCAAATGGATTTTTGGTAACGGCAAATCTAAACCCAATTCAAAACGTACGAGTATTGTGCACTAAGGTCTAAATATATAACTCGTAATCGCAAAATTACTAGGTAAAATGGACCTGTGGGTGCAGTACCTGTTTGCCAAGTCTACTTGTGAGATTGTTATAATTTTAAAAATCATATATTATGTAACAACCTATAAACATTATTTTATTACATATTTGACATAATAATAGAATAAAATTGCGAGATTGTTCTCTATATGTTCTAAATAGGAGGGGGATGGATTTGAATTTATATTTGACTTTGGTTTAGATTGATTTTATAGTGATGTTATTTAAATCCCTTCTAAACTCCTTTTAATTTCCATTATAAAAAAAAATTAAAAAATTAATTTTAAATCATAATAATGAAATCATAATAACCTTTTTCAATACTTGTATCACAAAATATATAAAAAAATATGATATCTTAATAAAAGAAAAAATATATAGAATTTAATTATTGATGGTAAGAGATGGAAAATACAGTTTTAGATTTTAGAGGGACCACCTGTTTTGAGTTCAAAAAAGTCAAATCTCTTATATCCTTTTTGGTAATTTCAAAATAAAATAAATATTTAATTTTAAACAATCAATAATGGGCTCCTATGGAGGTTTAGGGCCTGAAATAACACTACTTTGGGTTTTATAAATAAGCCTTTTAATGGGCTGAATAGGCCTTTCCATAAGTTTCCAATCGGGTGTCGCATTTAACGGACAGTAACGGCGTCAATATACAGAGGAGGGAAACGATTTTTCAAAATTAAAAACTCAAATTCACGCTATTTTACCGCAATCTCTCGACACATTCACACTCTCTCATGGTGATTCGCCCAAATCTAATCAATCGAAATCCAATCCGACCTAGCCTTCGAAATTAGATTGGGGCTCACTGTTATTTTCTCGCTCTTTTCTCGTCATTTCTCGAGAAGTTCGTTTTTCGCTGAGGTAACGCATTCTCTATTCTATTACTAGTGTTTTAATTACTATATATTAATTAGTATTTGAATCATCTCTTCTAAGTGTGATTATGTCTGTGTTTCTGGTCATTAGACTCGTAAATTTTAATAGGTTGTACAGTTAGTCGTTGAAGCGTTGGAATTGTGATTTTTGTTTTGCTGTGATTCTATTGATTTTATTGGAAGAAAATAGTTGTTGGAATGTAATTTTAGGGTTTGTGTGTTCGATTGAAAGGATCAAGGGTTGACTGAATCGATATCTTGAGTAATGCAATTTGAGACTGAAAGATTAGAGAGTGCATTCTGTTTTTGATGATTGCCTTGTAGGGGCAAGTGAGATGGTTTTTATTTTTATTTTTATGGATTACTGTTGTTGCCTTTTTTTTTTCTGTTAAAATATTGGAGGTGAGTTGCTGTTGGTGGTTTTTTGAGTTTTGAGTGGTTGGATAGCTCTGAAGTTGAATGCCATGTGTTAATTGGCCCTGTTTGTCTTTTTGCTCTTCCTGGTGGCACATGAATTCATGAGTTTTTATTGTTAAAGGAACTGAAGAGTTTGAGATTGGAGTTTTTTCAGTAATCAAATATTCTGTTGGTTAAATCACTAGGAGTGTGAAGACTTGCGGCTGCAATTTATGAGTTTTAGTAATATCTGAGAACTTGTCATTGCTATTTAGGTCTTTAATCGCAATGCAATCCACCTTTCTGCAATTTAGAAAACCCCTCTTCTGCATCTGTTCAAACGTTGTTCTTGAATTACTTCTTACCTTTTATTTTTGTTCATATGACTTGAAATACAAGCAACGTAAAATTATATGTTGACTGCAGGGGGAAAAAGAGCAAATCAGTGATAATAGTGTTGCCTACTTGACAGCGCATTGGTCAATAGCAGTTGGCTGCACTTTATTGTTTAAGAGTTTTCATTCGTAATATTTGAGATTATAGTATGGCAAAGGTTGCTACTCGTGGTACTTTACCTTCTAATTCTCATCAAATTGGTGGAGGTTCCCTCAAGATGGGCTCAACAGTGAAAAGGAAGACTCCATCAGAGCTTAGAGTAAGTTTCTGAACTCATATACTTGTTCTGTTGCATGTCTTGCCTCATTAATTGCTTTCTTTAAATATAAAGAAAAAAGGGCCATTTATCTACATTTAATTTTGGTTTTCTCAGATGAAAACAGTCTGAGACATGTAGTATGTGAATCATTAGGGACTTGACTGTGGTGATTTATCTTCTTGGTTCCATCTTCTTTAGTTATTGGTGGTGATATTGGATAATAACGAGTTTAAACATTTTTGCTCCTCTTAATATTAGCTTAACTTTTTAAATCAAGGTAGATGCTCATCAGCTCTTGTTAATGAGTAAGTGATTTATTTATGTATCACAGCCGTCATTTTCCCACCTTCTCTTAAGAAATCGCAAAGATCAAAGAGATTTGATATTTTTGTCACACGTCTTTGCATGCATCTATTTTTGTGTCCTCACTAAGCATCAACTGCTTGAAGGCATTTTCTAAAAATTTTAGTTACTCTTGCTTCATATTTTTGCCTATTTATATTAGAAACCCCCCTAGTATTTGCTCGTTAAAATTTTTTAGTGCATGAATTGATTCTAGTTGGATCATATTTCAATATATTGAGGATCTATAGATATTTACTGTAACAGCTGTGGTCTGGCCTGCATTATAGATTAAACCTTTGATGTTGAAAATGAAAATAAGGTGTAGATTGATGCACACATTGGATGTCAGTCTCATTTAACTAATTTGACTTGTTCCCTTTTGTTATATGACATAATGACACTCCCGTTATGATTTTTTTTTTTTTTTTTTCCTTTTTTTCTTTTTTTAATTTTCATGTGGTCAAAAAGTTCTAATTCTTGCATGTCCGCATTGTGATAATGCCTACTATTGCATGTTTTTTAAGCTGTGGTTCAGTTTTGATTCTCTATTTCAGTTTTTTGATGTCTAGATCCATTCACCCCCTCCTCTCTCTCTCTCTTGCCTTTTTAGAAGCTGATGTCTTATGTTTTTGGGACTATTATCTTCCATGGTCTGGCCTACTTAGGAGGATATTTTATTAAGTTAATTAAGGAAGAGTTAGCCAATTATCAGGACAGGATGGCACTTTTCATAATTTATGGAGCAAGGAAATTTTATGTTATTTAGTTTGATGGTTTCCTACCTTTTGTTTCAATTGTGGCATATGTGTAATAGTTAGTCAACATGAAGTGCTGCATCTGCTCCTTGTAGTTCTTGTGATGTAGTAAGCTGTTGACATTGCATTTCTTGTAAGTGAAATTGACACATTTTTTAGGTGAACATTAGAAAGAAAGACTTTTTAGCTGTATCTAATCGCACTTTAGCTCTCAAGATGCTTTGTAAAACATTATGCAAAATTTTTATTTTTGGAAAATTTGTGTGACAGGGAGAACAGTTGAAGAGGGTAAACGTGATAGAGCTTGTAGATGAATCTCCTGCTCCTTTACTTGGTTCTACAAGGTAAAAATTTCCACTACTTTCTTTATTCACTCTTGAGCTAATAACTCACTGAATTTTTTTGGTTCTTTCTCAGTAATACTAGTGAAGTGGGTAATGGGCTTAAGAAACCAGATCTATTGCGAAATCCAAGATACATTGACACACGAATGGATGAAGTATATCCAGCCAAAAAGTCCAGGTTTAGGATACTTTCTAAAAAAGAAAATGATAAGGTTCTTACTTTGTCCATATTTATATAACTTTGTACTGTTCTAGTATACCTATCATGTTTTGATTTACATCTATGTTTATAAATGCAGTTGATATATGCAAAATTATTTTATTTATTTGTTCAGTTCTTTTCTATGTATGAGTAGGATAATAGTTTGACTGAGCAGCCTAGCAGCTTGAAGAATCTTTCCACGCTTTCAAATATTGCTGCCAAAAGAAGAGACCAGCTTTCATGGTATGCATTCAGCAGAGTGTCACTATTTCATATTATGTTACCACTATTGCTATTCTAATGTTCTTGTTTTCTATTGATCTATATCATATCTCTTTCCTGTCTTGGTAGTTCTGTTCCTTCTGGAGGTTCAAATGATGGTGAGGTGCAAGCTCGTCAAACAATTGAAAAGTGTAGTCAAAGTATGTTTCGTAGTGTTACTGAACTTTCATTGGGTGGTGAAAGATTATCCAACTTGGCTACTGTTGACATGGTATACTTTTTGAGAGCAGTTATCTTTTCCAACTATTTTATTCACTTTTTAATTTTTTAAATTGATCGTTAATTACCTTTATAGGATAAAGCATTAAAAGGCTTGGTTGCTCATGAACCTATTTCTGACTTTCCTGATGATTCTTCTGGGAGATTTGCTGGTCGTTTGCCTTATTCGGGCGATTTTCGCTCTGAATGCCATATTCTTGGCCGGAAGGCTCCCCTGGATTTTACATTGAAAACTTATATGAGAGTCGTTTCATCTTCATCTGTACATTTGTAAGTATATTGGGATTTTGAAGTTGTCTTTGTAATTTTTTGTGTTGCTAGTATTTAGAGGTAAGATCATTCCTTTGGGATCTATCCAGTTTCCTGCATAGCTGATTTTCTGTTGTGTGTGTTAGCTTCTTTGTTTATAAGTAATTAATTTAGTCAGAGCATGCATTAATTGAGCCATAGCTCAGGCGCTATGGCTAGATACTAGGAGGCTGGTAGGGGTTCTGATAAAGATCCTCAACATTTAATTTATGATGTTCTTTGGATTTACCTAAGAAAAAGAAATTAGAATATGGTTTTCTTTTTATTTTTTACACTCTTGAAAACAAATGGAATTGACTCGAACCCTTATTTGCAAAAATATGCTTTGAAGATGTCAATGTTGTATTGTATCAAGTTTACTGAAGAAACATGCCTTATTAACATGAACTGCTAGAACTTGTTTATTTACCAGTTACATGCTATTGACATCTCTCATCGGATTTCCTTATCCTCATTGTTCATACTGTCAGTTCAAATCCTTATTGGTGAGTTGCCTTTTGGTTAACAGTATTTTACTTGTTTTTTCTTAATTTCAGGATTCATAGGTCAATGATGTGTGGTGTCTACAATGGTTTGCCACAGTTTACATCCCATTCTGTTGGTTCTGAGGATAGAAGCAGCATGGGGATAACGTTGTCTTCCCAAATCTTAAGTTCTAAGGCCTTGCATTCATGGGTCTACCCTCAGTCTTCACTACCACCTTCTCTTATATCTGTATTGACCTCATCAGCTAAAGAGGGAGGTTTGCCCAATAAAACCTTTACCCAAACAAGATCCCCTGCTCCTTTTCTCCTCTTTCAAGTTCTCTAATATATACATATTTTTTTAATTCAGTGGAAATGGATTTCTTAAGAAAACGACAGTTGGCATGGGAAGACTCATTTCGAAGTCTGTACTACATGTTTCGGAAGAATGCTTGCAGTATCTTTTATGGTAAATGAAGGACTCATTTGTAGAATATGTTCTTTTGCTTCCCTAATTGGATATCATGTCATAAAAGTGGAGATTGATATGTTTTTTTTTTGTTTTTTTTTTTGTTCCTGTTTTAATAGTGTGTACTTCACATTTTGTGGTGATGTTCATTGGTTCTGATGGCTTCGGGATAAAGAAGCACTTGTGTAATGCGTATATATCCCAATCGACTAGAGGCTTGAGGTCATTGCTGAAAGAGCATGTAAGATGTCCTAATCTTGCCTCTCTTTTTTAAATAATTTTTATAATAAATTATAAATGCTATATTAAAATAGTAAAAAGAATGTGGGGAGCTCTACCGTGGATCTGTTGACTGCTGATAAAAAATAATCGAAAAACCAAGGGGGAAGAATTCTTACAAAATGGTAGTAAATAATCATCCCTCTCCTGGACAAATATAACCACTGTACAAAACTAACCTAACCCTTCTTAGCTAAGATGGAATGGAAAAGAATGAATCCTGGAATTCTTTTTGCAATTGAGTCCTTAAGAGAAGCAAAAAGGTAGACTGTATTGCACAACAGGGTACTGTTTTATTCTCTTTTCTCATAAATAATCCAAATACTTCTTTCTAGCCAAATCACCCAAAGAAAAATCAAATTATTGTTGAATTATGAATTACTTGTACCTCAATATTAGCTTGCCTTTTGTGTATTTGTTTAATTATACTAGTGTTTTTAAGGTTGGATGTGGTAAATCTATAAGTTATCCAATTATTCTGTGCTTCATAGCCTTTAATGATGTCTGACATTTTCTTTTTGTTGAAAATAATGTTCGTTAGGATGTTTCTTTCACCATGCCTCTTTGCAAATCTAAGGTTGAACAAGTCACTACAGAAGATCTGGTCGAGCTCTCAGAAATTGAGAAGCATAATTTGGGCCAGGTTCATGCCTAAGCTTCTTGTTATTGGCTGTCTCTTTTTATTAGTAGCAAGAGTTTTCTGCAAAGATATTTATGTGATTTCTGTTGACATTGTCATATTTGTTTTCAATAATTAATTTTCATTGGCACTTTCCTCTGAAATTAATGCAGGCTCGACGATCAAGTTCTTTGCCTGACATTGATAATACTCCCCAATCGTTGTTGGCTTTCAACGACAACAAGAACGTGCATGCTTTATATGATTTTTTATTAAATTATAGGCAAGTATATGGTTCATTTTGGATTATGAAGATAAATTTTTCAGTAGCTTGAGCTGTATTGTTATCAGGTTCTCTGATAAAAATCAAATTGTTTAAATACAATTTTCTGATCTCTTCTATCTGTTCTCTGGATCTTACTTCCTTTATTATTGTTGCCTTCAGATCTTTCTTGACACTTTTGACTGCTGTGGATGTTCCTGTATTATATTCACCCGAGCCATTCCAGAATGCTGCTCTTTCAGCACCAGAGGTCGGTGTTAGATACCTTTTATTTGGGACTCATTCCATGGATTATACATTTTTTAAGTTCCACAATTTCAAAATGCTTCAACAACTCTTTAACTGTTGCTATCTCATTTTCCTAGACCATAATTGTTTTTCCTAGAGGTTCCAGCCGTTCACTGTTTTAGGAATATGTAATTGTTTACTCAGTTTTCAGTGTCTGCGCCCTGATTATATAGCCATGGTCCTGATATGAAATGTACTGCTGCTGCTGCCTTATACAGTGATTTTCATTTTTTACCGTAGATATTTGCTTTTTGATCCAGTCCAAAAATATTAGGCTGCATTTGTTTCACTATTTTTCCACTATCCTATCTTAAAAACCCAAACATACATTTATTTCAATATTCTCAAAATCCAGTCTTACTTTATTCAACTCAAAACATTAACAATTACCTTTCTTGTAAAATAACCCAACTCAATTCAACTTTACTTTTTTAAAAATACTATTCTAAAACGCATTATAATAGTAAAACAAACAGAGCCTAACGTTGAAATATCTCTGTACTTATCCTGTTTTGCAGATTAGCTGCACGGAGATTAAAAGATCTGACAGTATTGCTGCTAAAAGATCCGTCACAAAGGATGATGAAGCCCTGCAAAGATCTCCTGGTTTCTGCTGTAGCATAGAAATTAAGGATACATATCTTCCACCGTGGATAATCTGCAACATATTTTCACTCATGAGCTCTGAAGGGAAGAATTTCGAGGCCAGGTAAAACAAGTTCTATCTTCAGCTTGTTTGATTCTGTTTTAATCAGATATTTTTAGAATATTAAACTTATCCCGAAGCAGATATAGAACCCTGTATTCTTGAAATAACAATTCATATATCACTTGGTACCTAATAATTGATTTCATCTTCGTGGTTGTCAGCTTTACGACTGAGCGTACCTCAGTTGGCTTGAATGTTGCACTTGTGGCAGCTTGCGAGAAATCTGATGCTGAAACCACAGAAGGCGAAAGCTTGCCACCAACCGACCCTGTTTTTGGTATTTCTGAAGCTATTGTTTCTCCTTACTTGCGATCAGGTTATTTAAAAAGCTTGGAACACTCCGGTGGTTCTTATACAGCTTCTTTATCTCCTGTATGATATACTGTTCTATTTTTAGCACAGATACGACAGTCGGAAATTATGTTCATTGAACGGTTTCAATTAATTTGATCCTTTTTTATCTCCTGGCTACTCAAACTGTCCCAAATTGACTCATTTAGCTTGTAATCAAGAATAGTCTAAGCTCGCTTGTTTATTTTTAATGAAGTGAAATGAAAATATTAATTGAATTTTGTATTTTCAAGAATTATTCAAGCTTTTGCAATGGAGAAAATTACCATGAAATCAAATCATTCATTCAAGGATGGTATGTATTACCAATAATCCATACAAGAACAAACACCTTCTCTAAAATGATGGAACCGGTTCCGGTCTCTCACGGTTAACTCTCGATCAAAAACTTTAGAGATCAGCTTTGTAGCAGTGTGGCAATCTTCACAAACCCTTAAGTTTTTCACTATACGAATTGGTGTTCGAGCTTTAGTCTTCATAATCCCAAATGCGATGGCAAGCTTCTCACTGTGCCTGTAAAGTGAACTTTCTTTTTCCTCTTCATCTACATCAAACAATGCCTCCTCCGTATTCCCAGTATATCCTGCCAATCTTATCTTCCGAACAATCTCCTCCCACATTCTCTCGATGTTTTCAATTTCTGGGTGTGCTTCGTCTCCAATGGTAAATTTATGAACTCTTCCTTCTATCTCAATTAGAGTGTAACCTGGTGGTTTTTTAACACCTTTTTCCTTCATCATATGCCTCATATGTTCTGCATTTCCCCACTTGTTCGCTCGTGCATAAATGTTAGCGAGCAGCACATAGTAGCCGCTATGTTCAGGCAGCAACTTGATCAATATCTTTCCTGCTCTTTCTGCAATCTCGGCGTTCTTGTGAATCCTGCAAGCTCCGAGCAATGCCCCCCATATCGGGGCATTCGGCTTCACGGGCATATCAAGAACGAATTTCTCAGCTTCAGCTAACCTCCCTGCTCTGCCTAATAAATCAACTACACATCCATAGTGTTCCAATCTAGGCTAAATACCATAATCTCTTTCTATGCTGTCGAAAATCTCCAAACCTTTCTCTACCAATCCGCCATGGCTGCAAGCTGATAAAATTGCAGTAAATGTAATGTCTCTCGGGGCTAAACCTGTCTCCAACATTCCTTCAAAGTATTTCAGAGCTCTCTCCGCATTGCCATGTAATGCAAGTCCTGCGATGAGAGTTGTCCAACTTAGCGTGTCCCTTTCCGGTAGCTCCTCAAACACGTGAATCGCTTTCTCTATACTCCCACATCTTGCATACATGTCAACTAGAGCTGTTCCCAGTATCAAATTCACTTTCAAATTATGCCTAATTAGATAGTTATGAGCCTTTTCTCCTAGCTCAAGAGCACCCAAATGAGCACATGAAGATATCACACTAACCATAACTGTCTCATTTGCTCTAACACGTTTATCTTGAAGGATTTGAAACAACTCCACAGCTTTATTGAATTGATTGTTTTTCGCGTACCCACTGATCATTGTACTCCATGTAACCAAGTTCTTGTGCGGCATTTTATCAAACAACACGCGTGCTGATTCAACGTCACCGCATTTGTTATAACCAGCAATCATTGAGGTCCAAGAAACCACATCTAAATGATGCATTCTGCTGAAGATTTCACTTGCAGGCTTTATATCTCCACACGTAGCATACATGTGAACAAGAGAATTTTGCACATATACATCAGTTTCAAATCCATGTTTAATAATCTGACCATGAACTTGAATTCCCATATCTTTAGACCCCAATTTAGTGCAAGCCTTAACTAAAAATGGGAATGTTATATTATCTGGAACCAGGCCTTGGCATTGCAACTGGGAATAAAAATATATGGACTGGTGTGAGTTTTCACTACCAGAAAAACCCTGAATCAATGCGTTGTAAATAAAAAGATTAGGGTTTTGAATTAGGGAGAAGACACGTAAGGCATAATCCAGTAAACTAGATCGAAATTTAGGGTTTATGCATACGGCAATTAGGCGACTGGCGGCAAACACATCAAGGATGATATGGGTTCTTATCATATGGCCATGGATGATCTTTAGGTGGGAGAAACAAGAGCAGGATTCTAGCAATAGGAGCTTTGGATTCTTTAGTTTTAATGCTTTCAAGATTGAGCTACTACTGCCACTCATTTTCTGAAACTAACATGTTCTGCAGATTTGGGGACAAAGTTAAGCCGTCTTATTTGGCTTTCAGTTAGGTTCAGGTTTCTCTTGTCAAGAAATTGTAAGCTTTTGGTCTAGGGTTTGGCTGCTGCGTAAGTCCCCAAGTTCCCTCCCAGCCCGGTCAAGCATAGCTTTACTGGTATATGGAAGTTTACTTGTATATATGGTCATATAACAGTACAGGATTTTTTACCAATTATATATCATTTCATTACAAGTTTGACGTTCAATGTTACAAGTGCAACGATTCATGTAACAAATTTTGATGTTTCATGTCACAAAGAATCTATACTCTAGTAAGTTGATCCTCTGGTATTATAGCCAAACAAATAAAGTACAGTGCACATCTACTTGAAGGAACAGTTGCAGAGTGTCATGGTGTGAAATTTGTGTGAATAATTAATAAATAAATGTCAAAATTGTTCAAAAATCATTCCTCTTTAAGGAGTTAGAGCGACAACAGATTGTTATAGTCAATATTTGGTGCCATCGCAGTGTCATGGCTTTCATTGGGCTTTCAAAAAGAGAACTTGAAGGCACCCACCTTGGAATCTGATACTGAATCCCAGAAGGAAACCTTTTTCTCTAGAGCCTTTTTTTCCTCTGCTATTTTCTCCAACCGATCAATATCTCCAGGGAAAGAACTTTCGATAGCACTTCTGAACTTGTCATGCAAATTTACCCGATCTCTTGTTCCAGATACAAGCGTGCTAGCATTTGGTCTCTTCAGAAAATCCAAGACATTCAACAAATTTCTCCTGCAACACAGCAAACCAAATATCTGACCACACAAGAACCAAAAGAACAACAATAAACCTATTTATCGCATCCATGTGAAAAGATTTCACCACCAAGAAATTCTCAAAGAGCCGTTTAAACATCATAAGTTGTGGAGCAAATTAACATATATGCAAAACAAACCTGCTGACATAATTCTGTGTGATAGCGATGGACTCCTCCAGGTTGATCACCAAATGCCACCATCCATTAGGCACAAAGATCACTTCCCCAGCCTTACAAATGCACTCAATTGGTCTCTTCTTCCAGTTCTTTGTTGCACCATAGAAGTTCATGAACCACTCAATTATCGAAACCGGACATGCAACCTCTGAACCATCTGGGCTTGGGTGTACCCCAGGTGGAACTACATCTGGCGGAAACAAAACCCATTTCTTAGAACCTTTTATGATAGCATTCCAAGCTGATGTTGAATTAGGATCAATGTGGAATGACGAACCAGACCCAGCTGGTCCAATAATAACCCACCTATAGTCTGGCCTCTCATTGCCCAAAACACTAAACAAATCCTCTTGAAAATACATTGGAACCTCATACTCCATACCCAACTTCGGAACTTTCTCCGCAAATTTTGGATCAAACAAATACAATGGCCTTTCTTCCCTCACTAAGTCTGAATACCTAAAATAATCCTCAAGCTTCATCTCTACAGGGCCAACCGCAAACCGAACATCATCACACACCTTCACCAAATACTCTCTATCCCATTTCTCCAATGCATCCCAATTATCTAAACAACCTTCTAGCAATACCGGCTTATTCAGTTCCTCAAAATTCAATACAAATTCTTCCACAGACATACCCTTCTTCCTAACGATATTATCCCGCTCAAGCCATTCAGGTTTCATTTCAAGATTAGCACATAACCAACTTTGAAACAAGTAATCAGAAAAAAAGTCCCTAACTTTAAAACAACCACCATAAGAACCATTCCTATGAACACCAAATGAAGGATAACAAGAAGCAACGTAAGTAGATTTCCAAAACCCGTTAAACAAAAATTCGCCTTTAAGATTATCCAATACAAGATTCCTCCAAAGAGGTTCATGGTTACTAAAAACATAGAAAGATTTGCTAACAATAGCTAAAACACCCAACTGGGGTCCATCCAGAAGGCCAAAAATATCAAGAACAAGTTCATCACTAAGCACTCGGAGATTACCTAAGCCAGTATTTCTTGAGTTGACTGAGCTCGTGCTGAAGAAAAGATTTCCGAGTGGTTGAACTCCATGAGTGTTTGATGAAGCTGAGGATTTGAGGCTAAATTCTCCTTCTTCTTCTTCTTCCATTTCTTCTTCTTCTTCTTCTTCTACTACTACTTTTATATCATCATATGCTCGTTTTTTAGAAATGGATTTTCTGGGCCTTTTTTTGTTTTTCGATTTTTTGTTTTTGCTAATGGCTTTAGACAACAAGCTTCTGCTGCAGCTCAGCATTTTTAGAGAGTTGAGTTTTAGTTTCAGAGTGGCGCTGATGCTGCACTGCCTGCACACAATTTTTTCAAGGTCGAGTAAGATACAAGCGAAGGGGTTTAGCCTTTTAGGTCTCTTTGTCCTTGATAGAAACGCGTTTTTTTTTTTTTTTTAAAACCGTTTTCTTTTAAAAAAGCTTATGGACCTGACAGGGCGAACCGATCAACTCGCAGGCCCTGATGGATTGGATTGGGCTGGACGTGGATGGGCCGGTCAAACCCTTTTGATTTTTCTTGATAAGAATATGCTTAAAAAATAAAAATGGCAAATTATTAATATTTTTTAAAGAGAGACGATCATGTTTAGAGGTTTGGTTATATAATCATGCATGCTGGTATAATATTATCAAAAAAATTATTTATATGGTATTGAAAGGCAAAATTGTCAAACAAACTTTATTTATTTATTTTTCCTACAAAATATAAAAACATTTAATGAATATTTTTCCAGTTTTTAGTGAGATTAAGATTGGACATTTTAGCAGTACATCATTGGTGGTTTAAAAATAAAATAAAAAATTCATGTAAATTTGGAAATTGAAAATGTAGGTGGGTGCATGGAGATGGAGGTCACGTTATGCCAAACTTAATTGGTACATATTATATTACAATCTATTTGGACTTGACGTCCAAGCATTTTGTGAGCCAGTCAACAAATGAGCACTTTTCCTATCTATAAGCTGAAAAAAGCTGCACTTTTCTCTGGTTACATGGAAACCCACCCCACCTTAACTTAATTAGTTGTAATTGTAGCTGGATTTTGTTGAAATGTCAGATCAACCATTTAAATAGATAATGCCACCTTGATAAAGTGATCACATGAATTATTGAATATGTATGAGTTGACCTTCATATTTGATGAGTAAACACTCCAATTTAAAGTGGTCAGTATTAGCCCTTTGAAATTGCTACCACGGTCAATTTCATAGTTCATTTATAATTGGTTATGGATGAAGATGTTGAACTGCAACCACTTGGCTGTGGCCAGATGGCAAGCTATTAGGTTACCTAGAGTTTTTTGTTGAGTCCATCAATAGTCACCTACTATATTTGTGACTTATTTGATTCATTAAACTTATATGAAGTTCAATGAATTCTAAAAATTAATCGAAGTACATACAAACCGACCTTGACACTCAATCACCAAAAAAAAAAAAAAAAAAAAAGTCGAAAAGCCACCCACCAGCCTATATTGAAACATGGTTTAATGACACAACCGTCAAACCAATATTATTACCCTAATTCTCGTAAAGATCATTATTCTTGATCTGAATCATCAGGTAATAATCTAATCAACTCTTGAATTATGATCCAAAGATCTATTAAGTAATTGTTGATCGATGATTTCTCCAAAGGGTCTCAAACTCACCACCTAACTTAGGGTTAACCGTACTTGTCCTACATCTAGCTATTGGAATGGAGTGGATTTGATTTCAGACAAAAGCAAATGTCATTTTCATAATCTATCGTGTGTCCAAAGAAAAGGTTCAGATAAAGTTAAGAAACAGAGAGAGTCTCAGTCAATAATTTCAATTGGCACTTATTTTATCAGTTTATGGATTAAGACTGCCAAAGTTGATTGCTAGTACTACAAATACAATTACTCAAATGAAAGTTCCCAAGTCTTTTTCATCAGGAAACTCCCCAAAACCAGACAAAACATATATACCCAAAACCCAGATTTTTGCTAGCAGGACCAAACTGAACATCTTGCAAGTAGTTCACTAGTCACTTCCAAGTATCAATCTAACAGTATCCGAACCGGTAACAGCTGTTAAACTTGAATATATCAAATTGGATGATAAAAAATCAACAGTCTTGACGATTGTTACATACTCAATAATGTTATTTACATTCCGAAGTTTAAGGTATTTTTCAACCATATACGTACACAGTACAAATTTCAGATATCAAAGTGATATTGCATACTTGTCAAAGACGGAAAAAGATTATGTACCCTAGAGAATTATTAAATGAATGTGGCAACAAAGGGAGATCTGAATGAAAAATTCTATATAACTAAAACTGCGTCTATGAAATTTGAACAGAAAATTATCTTAAGATCGAAATTGATAGGCTATATTCGAAAGTAGAGAACTCTGCCAAAAATAAATTAATCAATAAAATAAATTAATTGATAGAACAGACTATAGTGAATTGACGAATGGCTTAAAAGAAAGACGTTAGAATCAAAGCTGAAGTCTTGGATGAAGAAAAATAGCACTTCATATTGGTTGAAATCATACAAGAATCAGAAATGTACAGGTGCGGAATGTTAGAAGACTTTGTACCTTCCGCTGAATACCACAACCTAAATGAACAAGCATGCCTACACCGTATCCATGTTTTACTGATCAACCAGCAGAATCTATTCAATCCCAAGAAAATGAAACAGATCGACACTGCACAATACACCCAATTCTAAGGCAACCAGGAATCCAGACAAAAGAATGCGAAAGTAACGGTAATAGTGTGATGAAAATCCATGTGGCATTCACATTTATGAGCATGGCATTTGCAATTATGAGCATACACTTCCAATGGATACGGAAATTTGAGAACCAATTTCACACTTGTGTGCTGGAAACACATCTCAACTGCCTCATGCGTGGGCTCCTATCTAGAAGCAATAGCAAGCCCACATTGTTGGCTGTCAACCCAGCCGTATACCTGCAATTACATTGAAATTATGACAAAAATGAGATCAAACACCAGAGATCCACCATAGTGAAAAATGTCTATGTCGAATGCAGTTGTGCTTGCAGACAAAAATGAATTGTACATGCAGTTCAATTGCTCATGCAGTTCAATTGCTCATATAAAGAGCATCAACCAACAAATAATTGATATCACAAAATTCTCAATAGACATCCCATATGCTTCTGTTGTTGCAACATATACAAATTTTCACACTTAAAGCATAATTCAAGTAGTGAACTCAGATAAAAAAATTTTCTCACATCTCTTTCACCATTTTGGGAACTCAATTTTTCAACCACTAGGATCTAGATATATCAAATCAGAGTTGCATATTGTTATGGAACCATATGAATCCTACTCAATCAGTGATAAATACCCACAATAAGTTCTATACAGTTCCTAGTATAGTCATGAAATTTCCAAAAGATTTAAATATTTGAAGGAACATTAACTGGTAATTCCTCTTAAGAAGACATTATTCTCCTCCTCAAATTGTTTCAAGGAACTGGAGAATGTACAAACCACATGTAGTGGGTTAGCCAACAAGTTTGTAAACAGGATGTACATAATTACTCATTAGAGAAGAGACATAATAGATCAATAAGTAAATCCATTAGTAACTATGGAAATTGTTTACTTACTTGCTATAAGAAGCTCTCCTCCGCCAGAAAACAAAGGACACAATCCACTGAACATAAAACATAAAAGAGGTATTAAAAAAGGGTGCTCAGGTAATTGAAATAAATCATATTAACGGACCAAGAAAAAGGAAAGTTTTGTTAGCTACAACGTCAATGTATTTTCAGTTTATGATGCTTCCAACAATGTAAATAGAAATCAGAGAAACATGTTCAGACTTAATACAAAATAAGAAGCACTCAAATAAAGCACATAAAATGAAAAAAACTAATGATGTACCAACTAAGATACACCAAAACTGGTTTAAGAGACAGATAAAAGATGAGGAAATGAACTACAATCTAAGTATATGCATATTCAGAGAGGAAAAAAAGCTGCCTAAAATATTTATAGTGAGAATAATAACAATATAAAACCGTTTGAGAGGGAAAAAGAAAAAGGAAATGAAATTTTTTATTGAAACCCATTTTCAGGTAGGAATCAGCTACAGGAGTTTTAGATGCCCTAAAGAAGCAAAAATAAAATGATAAGAAAGCATGAAGATACCATTCATTGTTGCTTGCTGTTTTCTCCAACTTCAAAATTATCAAAAGAATTTCATTTAATTACAGCTGAAATCATGTTTATTAACTACCCTTCTACAATATAATTCAGTTTGCAAGCAGTTGGAAATTGGAGATTCAGATTAAGATAAAATTTAAAATTCTATAACATTATAAAAGTTCAAGTTCATTACACGAAACTGCAACATGGTAGAGATCAATGCAGTGGTTTATGGCATATAAATGATGCATAAAAAATTACCTTGAAAATTGACATGAAGGAAAAGCTTCTGACAACAGATAATTTCCTCACAGGCATTTGTCTCTCAGGGCTCATTTCCTTGCACAGATGTTGAGCAATTTCTTTTAATAATACCATTTGTGCTTTGTCAGTCCGCATTGAAATAATTGCCTGTCTCATTGATTCCCTGTCAGCCTCAAGGGCCTGAAGCCTCATGTAGAGCTTCTTGATATCTGGATCTTCAGTATCATATCTGTTCAGTGAATCTCTTGGTGAGTTGATATCATCCTCGCAAACTCCTACACCATCTTTAGGTTCCTTAAAGCTATTATATTGTACTCCATTATTGACAGAATCAATGGTATAAACTCTGTCACTCGTTTCATCACCAATTTCTGATGCATTATCCATTTTTCTCAAACTAGAATAATCCTCTGTTTGTTCCATCTTCTTGACACAACTGTTAAACCTAGGAGATTCTGTGACAAAATCTGAACCTGTTTCTTTAAACATTCCCATGTTTGAACTTGAACTATCATTGGAAGACCTCCTGTTGTGTTTTTGGCGCCTAGGAGACTGAACAACAATCACTTTCTCTAGTATATTCTTCCCACTGGAAAAATCCCCATCCAGCTGGCTTTTTCTAGGACTCCGCTCCATTTGATAAATCCTATATTCTAAATTCTTCAAACGATTCTGAGTACGAGGGCTCTCAGCGTATGGATATTTTTCATTCTGACCTTGAGGGGTCTCACCAAATGTATATTTTTCATTCTGACCTCGAGGGGTCTCACCAAATGGATATTTTTCAACATCTACACCATCATTATCACCCTCCAAAGGAGCAGAATTCTCAATCAATTTGCACTTCAAAGGTGGGTAATCAAACACAGGAAGATCAAATTGGGTATCAAAGGTTTCAGCCATGCTTGGGTTACGACTAAGCCCACGTTTCTCACCGTCAGCCTCAGCCTCCGTAATCCCATAACTCATCATCCTATGCTTATAAGCCTGCACTTCACAAGTAAAGGCTTGAATGGCCTGCTCCCTCTTGTACAATAAATCTTCCAAGGCCAAAAGCTCTTGTTGGTCATGTGACATTTTCTCTTCTGCAAATCGCTTGAACTGCCTTGCCTCCATTTGGACTTCTGCCTTCTCCCTTTGCAACCTCAATATCATGGACATGGCCTCATTTGCAGCCGAAGACGAGGCATTTCTCTCCTCTTCCAACTCCACATACAAATCTTGTATGGCTTGCTGTTGGCTAGCAACTGTTTCACGCAAGGCAGCGCACTCATTCTCAATCTGCACACGGGGATTCAAATCTACAGCCAAACCAGGTATGAAGAACCCATTCTTATCCTCAAACTCATCGTACTTTCGTTTTACAGACCGAAGCCAAGTCCCAGAGGAACTACTTATCGAAGCACAGCTACACTCACAATTACAACATTTCACCAAATCCCTAGAAGGTGAAATTACTTCTAAATCCATAACTCAATACTTCACATCCAAACTAAAACGATTCAAGATACAATCTTCATTAAAAAAATTTACAGAGCTCAAATCCTCTCTCTGGGATCTACAGATCCGTCAATAACAAGTCATCCCCTTCCCTAACACCACTCAACAGCTATTTTTCCCCTCAGATCAACAAATTCACACCAAAATCCTACAAAAGCAACAAAATATCCAAAATTAAACACAAAAAATCCACCTTTAAGGTCAACAAGGTGAAAATCAACTAAATTCCAACATTATAAAGCATTTCAATTCTCCAAATTAAGTAACATTTAAACACAATAAAATTCTCCCCAATCTTCAACGTAAAAACAAACAATAAAAAAAAAAACAACTTCAAACACAAAATTTTCCCGGGAAGAAAACCTTCAAACACAAAATTTTCCCTCCCAATGAAATTCTCCCTCAAAACAAACCTAAATTTTCCCTCGCTACACAGAAAGGCAGAAACTATGTTACCTTAAAGAAGCAGAGGTGGCCAGCTGGGTGGACGCTAAATTTTCCCGGGAAAAAGTAAAAAAGTTTTTATTTATTTATTTTTTTTTTCTGGGGGAAGATGTCAAAGTTGAGCAGCGAGAAAGAAAAGGAGTGGGGGAAAAGGCTGTGGTGAGTAACGAAGAAGAGAAAGAGAAAAAGAGCAGAGAATGGTGTTTGGAGGGAAGGAAAATGGACGAGAGAAAACGGATTTTGAAACCCTAGACTTTTATTTTTATTGTTATTGTGTTCGCGATTCTGTTGTGTTGGTTTTGTTTGAAATGATTTTCTTGAACTTGGTGAAGAAAGAAAGAGAGAGAGAGAAAATGAAAGCGAAAATGAAGTGTTTGATGTTTATTTCTGGAGAGAGAGAAAATCGGAACTATTAATTTGTTAATCAACGGAGTTTACAACTAAACTCATAATTAATTTAATTAAGTACGTGTTGTTCTTTTTTATTTTATTTTCTGTCAATAAATAATTTTAAAAAAAAAAAACCATCTCTTGACTTGGCAAATCTTCGTGATTCATGACCAACATGTCACTTTGATCAAATATTTGGATCGGATTTTATAACATTTCATATTATAAATGTAATTAATAATGTTATAAATGTTTCGATATATTATGGAGAGAATAAAGTTGGAGAATAGTTTTACATTTGAAATTAAAATTAATTTAACTTTACAATTAATTGAATTATTTGTTTGACGTTGGCTATTGTTATTTGAGAGATCTTAATAACTTAATTTGTTGGATTTGGTAATTATGGATATAATATTTCACTCTAGTGAAGAAAACCTCTTCGATTCTAGGTATTAATGTCTAGGATTGGTGAAAAAATCAATAGTTTTAATATTAAATCGAACTAATTGAATGACTAAAAATAATTTGAGATTTTGAGGTTAAAATTGGGAGAAAAAAAAAAAACTTATATGAGGTTGTCTAACATCTTGTTTTATTAATGGGATGAGATTGTCAAATGTTTTATGTATACTAAAATTTCACTGTCATTAAACCGCTACTGTAATATATCAATAACTATTCGGTACCGTTTATCAATAATCATCACCAAGGTAAGTGATTTTGAAAACTACTAACAGATATCATTATGTTATCACATGATCATAATATATCAACAAAATACTATTAATTTATAAATTTGATTGATTTAATATTACAATTACAATGTTTTAATTTACATTTACAACTTGCCCCTATCATTTTGAAAGATCTTAATAACTAAATTTGTTGGATTAGTTAGTTATGAAATACAGTTACAATGTTTTAATTTACATTTATAACTGTTTCATTACACAATTTTACTATATCAACAAAATGAGATAACAAGATTATCCTATATAAGAATTTCCCACTAGTTTAACCTTTTAATAAATCGAATTTATAAAAAATATATTATTTTTTATTATGATAATACTTTTTAGCATTTATTGACTTTCTGTATTTATAAAATAAAGTAGGTAGGTTTTTGTTTGGTGAAAAATTATAGGAAAATAGTGAACAAAGTTTTGGCTTTTAGAGAAATTATTCATTCATGGTATCATTTGAACACTTCAAATATTCCCATTAAGAAGTGGTAAGATTAATTATGTTATCTTATAACAAAAATATTTAATTTTCATTTTTTTTTTTTTTTGAATATGAGAATGAGATTGGAATCATTATGTCAACAGCCATCTTGAGTTGTATTTATGTGTGTATCCTGCTTTTGAAATTTAAAATTGGAGCTATCAAATTTTTTTATATATTTTTCAAAATTTAAATTTTGTGTTTACTTTCCATATATTTAACATAATGGTACACTTTATGACTAAATCATATTAAATTATGGTTGATATACAATAGAGTAAACAACTTTTTCCCACCCAAGGTTTACCTTAATGACATTTACCCATCCAAAAAGTTTCAAAATATCATTTCTCCACCCAAAATTTATATTTCGTTAATACCCAAAATACATTTCACTTTCTCAATCAGTGTTCAGCAAGTTACCAGGAGCCAAGATGAGAGGGGTTTTATAGAGTGGAGGTCGGTGGATCAAATAATGGTGACCAATTGAATATTTGCCGCTAGAATCAGTCGGATATAAGCTAAAAATAAAAAATCTTAGCTTTGTGGTGACTGACAATCGATGAGAAATCAGGTGTCAAAGTAAAAAGAGTTTTGTAGAGAAGAGACTGGAGGTTCAAATGGTGGTGACAGAGAGGATTTTTATCGCTGGAATCGGCTTTGGGTAGTGGGTGGTAATAGAATATAAACTTTGGGTGGGTATTTTGAAACTTTTTGGGTGAGAAAGGTTTGTTAAGGCAAACCTTGGGTGGAAAAAAGTCTTTTACTGATATAAAATATTTTCAAAGTTACATGTGTGAATTATTTTTGGGCAGTGATCATTAATTTGTAAATTTTAAATTTTTTTTTTTTTTTTTGGTTGCATTATATTAAATGAGTATTAACTCTGTGTGTTATATATATATATATATATATATATATATATAATGGAAAATGAGATTGGAATTATGACCCACTAGCATGATTTAGTGTATCTTACTTTGGATTTTAAAAATTGGAATAATATTAGAATAAATAAGGATATAATATTTATAATAATATTAGAAGCTATCCGTTTTAAATTATTTCAAATTTAATTATTGTTGTGTTTACTTTCCATATTTAATGTAAATGGTACACTTATAGGTGCACCATCTTCTTAAATATGATTAATTAAAAATAATTTTGAAGTTATATGACTAAATTTTTAATGGTATTATTCACCATTCTCTTAGATTTTTAATTACAAAAAAAAAAGGGGCTTAATTTATTTAATAAATACATAGTGTCTTAATTTAATTTATTTAACAATTAAATTATTAATTGTCATTAAATACTTGTCATTAAATGATTAATTGTCATCTGTTAAAAGATAAATCAATTGAGCCAACAAGATTGAGTTGTTGAAACCTTTAAATTGCGTGTTGAATCCATCTTCTCATCTTATTATTATTATTTATTATAATTTTTATGAATTATATTATATTAATTGGAGTATTTAAATATTTTAAATTTTAAAGTCTTTGTATTCAAATAATAAAAATAATTTACATTTTTTTAAGGGTTATTTGATTTATCATCTAGAAACATAATCTAAAGTTTGCTCTTAAATAATCTAATTAAACAAATGTATAACATTTATATTTATTGCTTTAAATAAATAAATGAAATTGGAAGCATGATTTAGTGGATTTTTCTTTGGATATGAAAACAGGCCTATAATATAAACAACAATAAATATATAAAAAAAAAATGAGAGATGTCAATTTAATTCATTTTCTGAATTGAAGAATTAAATGTTGTATTTATTTTATGGCCCAAGTAAAATCAGATACAATATATATATTTAAATAAATAAATGAAATTGGAAACATGATTTAGTGGATCTTTCTTTGGATTTTAAAACAGGCCTATAATATAAACAACAATAAATATAAAAAACAATGAGAGATGTCAATTTAATTCATTTTCTGAATTGAAGAATTAAATGTTATATTTATTTTATGGCCCAAGTAAAATCAAATACAATATATATATAGCTGAATATCCATGCGGGTTGTTTGCCACGTGACACATTTTGAAAGGTCTAAAATTGCTCTATATTGACACATTGGATTGGCAAGCCAATCAAATTGCTATATCTTGACACGTTGGATTGATATTTATTAATCCATCTATAATTATTAATTAATTAAAAAAAGGGGATATGTATTAATAAATAATAATAATAATACAAGTGCATTGCATTGACATTCCAAAGATGTGCATTAATAACAAGTATAAGGTGTATTGGATTGCTATTACTAATTGTGGTTTAATGACATTTGTCTATGATTGCTATCGATAATTATATAGGTGCATTGTATTGACATTGGAAAACTCTCCTCGTATTGAAATCGTAATTAATTGCATTCGTATTCGGAAGGTCCAAATAAGGGGTTATAAAAGGGGCTCATGTTCAGTTGTGTATCATCGCAATTTGTTAGTTGGTGTCAACAATACATATGGTCTTTTGTTAATTGTTTATATGTTAGTTTTGTTTGTGAAAATAATATGTCTGTTCTTCACTTGCATTTTGTTCGATGGTTTTTTATTTATGTATGTTTTTATTGTTGTTTACAGGTTAGAGATTCATGAATTGACATGGAATAAAGGTAGGATGTCGGATTGACACTGTCAGATGAGTTGTTATTTTGATTTCTTCTCTGAACTGTAAGTATATTTTCTAACTATTTTAATGCAAAACTGTAAGTATGTCTCCCAACTATTTTAATGGTTATTGTTAGATTGAATGATTGCTTTTGTTCGGCCAATTTATTTGAATAATTGATTGTGTTATTCCTTTCAAACGGTAAATGTGTTCCTTGATAATTTTAATATGAAGATTAATTAGCTTTTGTTGTTTCCGTTTTTAGGTACCAATTTTTATAGAATAGATAATTGTTCCTTAACAATGTTAACATGAAGATCCACTACATTTTGTTATGTTCCTTTTCAAGGAAATGAGGATTTGTATTTATTATTTTTTTGGTAAAGTCATTGATTCAGTGTGTCTCTTCTGCTGATCGATTGGCATAAAATGTGAATTCGTTGATTTTGTTGATTTTGTTTTCAGGTTACAGGGAAAAAAGTTGACGTGTTCATACAATGGCGAGTTTGTTTCATATCAGGTTGTGTTTATTAAGTCTTCGGTAGGGTCATTGATTTGGTATGTCTGTGGTTGCAATCGATTAGCGTGAATTATATGCTCACTGATGTTTGCTAATTTTATTTTCAACTTACAGTTTCAGCCGAACAATGAGTATTTGTTGTCGGTATGTTCATGTGAGGGGCAATTAGTTTTTTCCTTGTATTGTTGACGCTGAGTAACATTAAACGTTCATGGTTTGTATTTTGTCTAAAGATTAAGCATTGTTTTTTCGGCCATGCTATTTGTTTGTTCCGACTGATATGTAAGCATTTGTTTTGGGACTGAGCTACATAAAACATTTATGGATTGTTTTATGTTAACAAGATTCTTGTTAGTATTGTTTTTGCTAACTCTTTTCTCAGGTGAGATGATCGGCCCTCAACTATCATCGAATTGTGCTGCTCAGTGCATTGTTGTCACAGGGTGGCAGAATCCGATAGTAGTTAAGGTTCAATTTTTTGATTTATGAATGGAATGTTATTGTATCAGATTTGGTCATTATGGATGTCAATGTTTTGTGCTGTGGGAGTGTCATGGTTAGTATCCCGACATGATGGTGATGGTGATTAAGAGATTTGGTTAT